CAAAAGGAGGGAAGGAAGGGAATTTTTTTTTTTTTTGGGGAAGTTTGGGGAAGATGGATTGCCATTCCTCGATTAAAATTTCAAATTTTTTTGGTGTTTGTTTTTTTTTGGGTTTTGATTTTGGGTTTTAGATAATAATAATAGCAAATAAAATAGATAAAGAAAAAGAGAATATTATTGAGGTGAGAGGGATGTTGGGGGCGATGGATGTAATGTTCAATAAGAGAAATAAAAAAATAAAATAAAAAATGATTTGAAAAAAACAGTGATGCGGGTTTGTGAAATCTGTGAGTTGATATGGCGATTATCAATATATAGTATAGGGTTGGTGACACAAGCCCACGAGGTGATAGCTGTGGACACCACATACTTTAGTGGTATCCCAGAGAATGAAGAAATTGCATCCCAGTGCAAAATGTTCGAGGAGCCAACTTCAGAACTAGGTTGAGTGGAAGTGAAATACGCTCCTTTGTAATGGACGGTATTTTTCTGAGACGAGAAAATAAAATAAAATAAAAATAAAATAAAATAAAATAAAATAAAATAAAATAAAATAAAATAAAATAAAATAAAATAAAAAAACACAAATAAAACCCAAACAACCACATCCACAGGCGGGATTTTTTCTTCTCTACTATGCCGCCGGTCTCTTCTTCTTGCCTCCGTCCTGGGCGGCCCTTGCCGGTGTTGCCTCCGTGTTTCCCACTCCACTGGGCATGATCACTACACCCTGCTCCTCCACTACAGCATATGGCGGACCTCCAAATCGGAACATCACGGTGGCCTTCCGCTTCAGCTCCTTGTTTTCCGCCTTTAGCACACTTATGTCTGCTCACGCATCCTTATACATGCGTTGGAGCAGAGCCAGTTGGGCGTTTAACTGCTGCACCTCATTTGTCCTACTCTGCAGCCGGTGCGACAAGTTTGTGACCGTCGTCATGGTTTCTACACATGACTTCAAAGTATACTGATTGGCCTCAATATCAGTTTGCACCGCCATTTTTTGCTCCACCGACCGCATCGGAAAGTTCAACGGAGCAAAACCAGAGGCGCTTGGTTGAGGTTCACTGGCCACCGCACCAGTTATCTCTCTTGTTGACTTGTTGAGGTTGGGAAAGAGAGTGAGCAGACTACGGGACGAAGAGGCCATGTTATGGGTTGCTGAGTGTTTCAGAGAAGGGTTGGTTACAGAGTGTTACAGAGTATCTCTCTCAAGACAACGAAGAGTTTCTCAGAGGTTTTTAGCCAGTTTTTTGTCTTAGCCTCAGCCTCAGCCTCAGCCTCAACCTCAGCATCCGTCTTGGTTAAATAGCCAAGGCAGACACGCGCATCGCGCGCCACTTGACGCCAGACGACAAAACGGGCGCGCAAGCCAATGTGGTGACGCGCCTCGCCATCATGTCTGGCGCATCTTTTTAGGACTTGGGCTCGCCTTTTGATGGCACGCCTTTTTATGGATTGGGCACGCCTTTTGATGGCACGCCTTTTTATAGATTGGGCACGCCTTTTGATGGCACACCTTTTGAGGGTGCGACTTTTTAGGGGTCCGACATGAACTCTGTAAACTGTCCTGACATTGATTCCGGTTAGCTCCTTCATGGGTCCGACAAGACTCTGTAATCTTTGGTTCAAAAGGTTCAGGTTAGTTTCTACAAGGGTCCAGCAAGACTCCGTAAACTGTCACAACAACTGTCACAACATTGTCTGCTACAACGGTCCGACATGACCCCATAAACTGTCTTCTACATCGGTCCAACACGAGCCAGTGTCTTCTACATCGGTCTGCCATAACCATACAGTCTTCTACAACGGTCTGACACGACCATACAGTGTCTCCTATCCATTTTTTATTTTTCAGATTATTTTCTTGTTTTGTTACTCTCTCCAAACTCAAGTTGGTTAGTTCCTATCCCCCTTGAGTTTGCGGGGCTGTTAAAACCTACCATCACCTACTCCGCCTACTACACCTACCACCACCCCTACTACACACCTACCACTACCACCTACTACCACCTACTCCACTACATCTCCTATATAAGGAGCCCCTCACCATTTGTAAAAAATAACATATATCAATCAATAATACATCAATTTTAACATCTAATGTAGGCAAAGTCCCCATCAAACATAGCTTCTGTTATGCAGTCAAGGTTCATGTCAGATATTGGTTCAGCCATCGTACCTTCTTTACGAGAAGAGGTATGTGCAGTAGGTACTTAAAGTTTCATTTTGAATCTGTGCTAATATGTAGTTGAAGATTGATAGGTTCACCCTCTACAGGAAAAGTTCATATCCAATGCCTGCTTAGCTGGAGTACCTAAAACTGAGGTATGAGTAGCCTTGTTTTAGTTAAACCATAAAAACTTGATAGAACCTGAATCTGTTCTAATATCTAGGTATAGGATGGCCAGATTAATTTCAGATGCTTTTTTTCAGCTGTAGTACCTAAAATGAGGTATGGGTAGTCTGTTTTAGTCACTTAAAAGATATTCAATGAGCTTAATCACTACTTGAATACAGGAAACTTCATTACTAGATGCTAGTAAGGACAAAAAACGTATAGAGGAAATGGTAATGAAACATCTTGCTAGAATCTTGACTACATTATTACAGTTTAACATCAATATTAACTTAAACAACTGATACCGAGGCTGCTTATATTTCATTTAGTTTAATGTTATTTGCTTCCAATGCATTAGAATGTTATATACTTGCTAGGGTGATTGTTTGGTCTTTCAGGATGTTCCTCTACACAGTGAGAGCAATCATTCAGAAGTTACTGCAAACATTGATAGCAACATTAAAGCTTTGACTTATTTGGAAGATGGTATATATATGAAAACTCTGGAAGTTCAATTCCAAGAATGTAGACATGAATTTGATAATTTGGTCTCTTAAATAGGTGATGACATGGATAAGGAGAACAAAAGTTCGCTGATGAATGAAGCTGGATCTCCACCACTAAGTGCAAGATTGCGAGACCTATCAAATGACTTGAAGTCTCTGTTATCTTTGACTCCAATACAGATAGAGATACCACCTGAGACCGATGTTCCATACAGTGACCAAGTGGTATCCGCTGATATTGTGGAGCTAAAAACCCCGGTCAAAGAACAGCATTTGAGAGTCAAAGATAAATGGGAGGTTGCAAACTGCCCTTCAGAGACATTCAGTGCACGCAGTTCTGGATTCAAGGTTAAGCTTTCTTCCATGTCTCCTGTACAAATCTCCTTGTGTTTTTCATTCCTTGTCTTTCTTGTTGAAGTAAAGTTTGTATCTTCTTTTTGCAGCATTCCCTTGTTCAAGACTATCTTAGTTTTCTGAATACAGCTAGCAAGTGAGTAAATTCTATTTATTTATTTATTCATTCTGGGCGATACCCAAGTGTTTTAATTTTCAATTTTCAAGTAACAGAAACCTTTTGCCCCTTTTCTTTTCATTTGTGGTTTCATGTTAGACAATAAAAGCAAAATTCCTCTTCTGAATCTATCTCCCCTTTCTACAGGGAAAAACAAGAAACTGTTAAGAATAGGAAATAACATCAATTTTATGCTAGTATTTTTTTACTTAATTAATTTGCTGAGGACTTGAATCACACAAAATACATTAATATGAAAGCACTCGGCTGTTTGTTTTTTGGGTTTTGTGTGTGTGAAGAATAACCTTCCAAAACCAGTCAAAACAATTTTTTTTTTGAACGGAGACTAAACATTGTTTGTATTGCTGGTTTTGGGATATGCAGATTTATCTTAGGCTTAGTTGTTCCAAGATATTATTATTTGGAATTAATTTCATGGAAAATGCTGCAAGTAATTACTTTTAGCATTACAGTGTCATCGAATTGTAGTTTGATTAGAGGACAGAGTGTCAACATCAAATTTTCGTAATAGTTCAAGTTGTAAGGGGTAACCATTGGTTCAATAGTAAAATCTTGGCCTAATAACCTTGAGGTTATGAGTTCCAATCTCAGGGCAACCACTTTGTACACTATTTCAAAGGTTAAGTGTGTACCCAATCTTTTCACTCCTAAACACACATTAATGTGTATTATTTGGGCCTTTATTTATTGATTTATTTTTTTTATTTTAGTTGTAAATGATTTTCATCTTGCATTTTTCTTAAATTATGGCCCTACTTGAACTAAAGCTAACTTTTATTTCTTGTTATTAACAGAGAAGAGTTGAAAGGATTACGGGTAAGCACTAACTTATAAAACCTCATTATAAGATAGTTTTTCTAGTTCCATTGTATCATTCAGCATGTTGCTTCTGTGTCTGTGTAGGGTATTGGAGAAAAGAGAGCTACCTACATTCTTGAACTTCGTGAGGAGTCCCCTGAACCGTTCAAGAATGTGAGTTTATTTTACAATATATAACAAGATAAGATGTTCAATCAATCTTAATATAGCCTTTTCGCATTGCAGCTTGATGATTTGAAAGACATTGGCCTTTCAGCAAAGCAGGTATTTAATGGCAAATGCTAACAAGTGTCTCTTGTGTGTTAGGATTAGTGTAAAAAGTGTTTTGGAAGTGATGAAAAGGTTAAATAAAAAAGTTTGAAAATGAGTGAAAAATATCTTGAGTTCTACACATTTGTCTTTTTGCTTGTATCCCTGAGGGCACATGTTAGCGAGAGCCTTATTTAATTCTAACTTTTATCCATCCATTAGTCCTCTCCTTTCTTGAAAAATCTCTTCTTTTTTTTTGTATATGATAACTTCTTTAATGTCCCGTTCTTTCTTATGGCTGGATCGCAAATTATCTACCAAAGTTGTCATTTGACGTTGAATATGTTTTTGCTCATATTAGGATGAGGTTCGGCCAAAACATGCATTTGATTTTTTGTTGTTTTCACAGGTGAAGGGCATGATGAAGAAGGTTGCCGGAGAACTTTTTAATTAGCATGCTTCAGATTTAGTAGAATGAATGATGTTTGATATTTGGCAACATAAAGTTGCTATGGATCTTTGAATGCGGGTCTCTTTTTCTGTTTCTTCTTTTTTTATTTTTTATAATTTGATTGTGATCTTTTTGATGCATGTCAATAGTGAACCTCTTCCATTTTATTGTGTTTATATATCCTACCCAAATTCACCTGATTTGTTTGTTCTATTTCTTTCTTTTCTCTTTGGTATGGTATGTGTTGGTCAATGCATCATCCAAAGAGTATTGTCCATGCTTGAAGCACGAAAAATACTCAAACCACACAACATTTATTTTAAGCGGAATGTACGGGTATAGGCTCGGATGAATTGTCATTTTCAGAACTTGCCGTAGAGGGAGTTGCATTGTTCTTGAGATTATGCCAAAAGAGAACTTTTTCTGTTGACATAATCATAAGCAGTAAGAAAGATAATTGGACTCCCTTGAGCTTTTGTTCTCCTCTTGCCTAGAGATGTTTTTACACCATGAATGTTAAAGTTGAATAAATTGCAAATAAGGTTTCATGCTAGATGAAAACAAAGAGGGAAGATTGTCTTTCAATGTTAAAGTTTAGTGAACAGTGTAGGTGATGTTTGGTAAGGTTTATATTTTTTGTTGATGTTTATAAAAAAAAAATAATTAATTAGTTTTTGTTTGTTTTTAGATAAACAAAAGTTGCTAACACCTAAAAACAAAAATCCAAAGACATGTTTGTTAATTTTAATACGTAAAATGTTTATTTTAATTTTAATTATTTATGACAATAAAAATCATACAAATTATAAAATTATAATAAACATCTAGAATATAAACATATTAGTCCAATATGATCAATTTACAAGTAAATAACAATCTGTGTGTTTGGTTTCGATTTTTAAAATTTTGTTTTTGAAAATTGAGTTTTTTGTTTTTAGTGAATATTTTTGAACTTTTAAGCAAATTTTTTTTTTTTAAAACTTTTTTAGATGCACTTTATTTAGATGTATCTAAATAGTAAAATATTTGTGAAAAAATATTTTAAAAAATTAATAAATACACAAAAATACGAAAAACGTTTTGAATTTCCTTATTTTATTTATTTATTTATTTATATATATATTTTTTTGGTATTTAGTGAATTTTTTAAATATTTTTTTTCACAAATTGTTGGCACCATAAATCTGCAATTATTATTATTATTTATTATTTATATATGTGGCACCGTCTTACTTATTTGGAGGTTATAAAATGTGGAAAGATGATGGAGAACATGGAGAGAATGGAGTATGAAGTTGAGGTTGAAGGAAGTTAAGACAGATCATGGAGAATGAAATGGTGGACATAGAAGAATATGATAGTTAGGTAATTTTTTTTTACAAATGTTTGTCTATAAATAGCCATTTATGACTACATTATAGTGGGATCCATAACTCAAATCAAAGACAATTGATTACTATTTTTCTTGTCATTTATATTTTCTGTATTTTATTTTACGCACTTCTTTTTTGAAGCATTTATTTTTAGCACTTCCTTTTCGAACCATTTTATGCACTTCCTTTTCAAAGCATATAAGTAGAGGTAAGTATTTGTTACTTTGATTGTTCACTCAATCACCCTGATTGTTCACTTAATCATCTTTCTCTCTCTTCTTCCTTTTTCTGTTAATTTTTCTTTTTTCCACACTTGGCAATTTTGAAATATTCTTCATTGAGGCAAAAGAACTATCAACACAATCGCTTGATAATTGGCTTGAATTTAATTTGTAAGAATTTTTCAATCCTTGCTGACACGCTCGCATTAATGATATTTTCTTTCGTAGAAAAATAAGACAACACAAATATTATAGTTTTTAAGTGTACTTATGTATGTTAGGTGTGTCTAAAATTTTTTAAAAATTACTTAAAATATTAAAAAAATTCAGTGAAAACAAAAAAATGTGAAAAAACGAAAAAGGTGAATTTTCTAAAAAGTGAATTCTAAAAACTGAAACCAATAAAAGTGAATAATGTTCCATAATCTATTACAACCAATCATAAATTTTCAATTGTTTCTAACAAATTCACACATTTGACCAACAATTTAAGTCTGAAGTTAGACCTTCTGCGTTTGTTCCTATTTTCTCAGTGTTGGAAAATTTGGTTTTATAGGTTTGTTTTGAGTCAACTTTGAGCCTAAATTTAAGTAGGGCCCACACATCTTTTGAGATGGGTCCAAGCGGTGACGTGTTCCTTGCTGCATAGTAAGTCACACGGTGAAATCGGTTCTTCAAAAATATTTATGGGTGAATGGAAAGTTGACGTTGTTTTCGATTTCGTGAAATAGGAAGTTGAAGAGACAAATGTGAGCTACCTTATTTGGTTGTCCCACAAGAATAACAAGAAGTTTGTATGAGTATATAAACTTTAGGTTGACATACTTGGGATGGGAGGGCACCCTAAGTTTTGTAAAGAGGAAAGTTATGGACAAAGTGGGTTTGACCCAAAACCACCAGACGTGCTTCGACGCCGTCCATCCAGGCTGGGTTGTGTGTCGGGTTCTACCTTTTATTTTTTGGACAAAATTCGTTTGAATTTTTTCAAATTCTTGTGGGAGAATTAAATTTCCAAACGAATTAATTCAAATTTTTGTGAGAAAATTTCGAATTTGAATCTGCTTTCGAACCAGTGCCTTCTCCGGTCATCTTCTTTAATTTTTTCTGGCAGTTTGAGTTTATACCTGTTCAGAGGATTTTTCTACCCTTTCAAATAGGCACCACTATGCCTATAAATAGAGGATTCTCCAGCAAGTTCATTCATTCCATTTTTCCTTCACATTTTCCTTCTTTGCTATATTTCTTTTTCATATTAGTTTAAATAGAGTTAAGAGAGTTACAGAACTCAGGTTCTAGTTCGCCAGACAGACTGTTTGTAGTGCTACTATAGTTTGTGTTCTTGATCATTGTATCATGGGAGATAGATGCCATTAATTCTTGAGCACCTGTGCGGTGACGAATTTGTCTTAAGGATGGAAATTCACACACTTGACTTGATTGTCATTTTTCTGTTCTAATTTTTCGGTACAAGAAAAATTCTGTAAGTAATTTCTTTTGGTTATTTTAGTTTTGTTATTATACATAGAAGATTGTTCCAATAATCTTAAGACAGATTCAAATTATTCTGTTTATACAAAAATTTTCATTTGTTTCGTTTTCAACTTTTTGTTACAAAAATTATTTTGTGTGTGAGGTTTTCATAAATAAATTCTGCATTTTCAGAAATAAAATTATGAGTTTTCATTAATTAAAATTCTGATTTTCAGTATTATAATTTTTGAAGTTTTACAGAAGTAATAGTCTGTGTGGAATTAATTTGATTAAATAAAAGTTCATTTTCAAAGTAATTTGAAATAAAAGTTACAATTTTTTTTTTTTACAAAATTATATTATGTTTTTTATGATTTAATTTTCTGTGTAGTATAAAATTCTAATTCTAATTATGTTTTATAATTTAGAATTCATTGCTATTGAAACTACTCAGACCTTTGATCCAACTGGTGTTACGGGTATTGCGATTGCCCCAATCCTTTCTGTTGTTGTGACAGTGTCGATGAATCACGAGGAATGCCAAAGAAGTTCTTAGGAACTGACTTTAAAAGATGAGATTAGAAAATGTTGTTCTATTTTACTAATTTAAATTTGGCTCGTTTCCTTCGTGAGAATGCTCCTGTTCTGAAAAAGAATGAAACCGATTGACATGTGGTTGTTGTGATCAATGCTTGAAAATATGCAGATTTCCTTTGCCGTAACTATATCTTGAATGGGCTCGATAATACATTGTACAATGTTTATAGCCCTATCAAGATGGTAAAGGAATTATGGGAGTCGTTGGAGAAAAAAAAATATAAAACAAAAGATGCTAGCTTGAAGAAATTCGTGGTAGGCAAGTTTTTGGATTTTGTAATAGTTGATTTAAAAACTGTGATCAGCCAAGTTCAGGATTTCCAACTTATTTTGCATGATATTAATGCAAAAGGCATGTCACTGAGTGAATCCTTCTAAGTTGCCGCCTTAATTGAAAAATTACCGCAAGGATGGAAGGAATTCAAGAATTATCTTAAGCATAAGCGTAAAGAAATGACTTTAGAAGAACTAATTGTACGAATGAGAATTGAGGAAGCCAACCGAACTTCTGAGAAGAGAGTTAGAAAGCATCCTATGGAGTCAAAGGCTAATGTGGTGGAACATGCACCAAAAGCAAAGAAACAGAAATTTACCAAAAAAAGTTCCTCACAAGGCTCTAAGGGAGGGGACACCAAGAAGTTCAAGTTTAATGGCTAATGCTCCATTTGTGAGAAAGAGGGACATTGGACCAAAGATTGTTGTAGCAAGCGCAAAGGTAAAGGAAGTTCAAGTAAGAAACCTGCTCAAACTAATGTCAGCGAAGTGGATAGAATCTCCAATGGTTTTGATGACATAAACCTTTCAGCTGTTGTCTCCGAGGCCAACCTAGTCGGAAATCTCAAAGAATGGTGGGTGGACATTGGAGCCACTCGTCACATATGTGCCAACAAAAAGATGTTCTCCTCCTATTCTATGGTGGACAATGGAGAACAACTATTCATGGGCAACTCCTCGACTTCTAAAGTCGAAGGACAAGGAAAGGTAATTCTGAATATGACATCTAGAAAGGAACTCACTCTCAACAATGTGCTGTATGTACCGGACATTTGCAAGAATCTTGTTTCCCGATCTTTGTTAAGCAAAAATGGGTTTAGGCTAGTTTTTTAGAGTGATAAATTTGTACTTACCAAAAAAGAGATGTATGTAGGAAAAAGGTTACATGACTGATGTCCTTTTCAAAATGAATGTAATGACTGTTATACCTTCTATTATTAATAAAAATACATCTTCTTCTTTTTTTGGTTAGGTAAAATACATCTTCTTCTTTCTTGCTTGAGTCTTCAAATTTATGACATGGTAGATTAGGACATGTTAATTATGGATCTTTGCGTAGATTAATTAATATGGAATGTTTACCTAAATTTGAAATTGATCTAAATCATAAATGTAAAATTTGTGTTAAGGCAATTCATAGTGACATTTATGATTTTAAATAAACTAAAACTCCTGTTCATTCAATTGAAAGAAGTACTGAACCACTTGAATTAATTCATAGTGACATTTATAATTTTAAATCAATTCAAACTAGAGGTGGGAAAA